ACGTCGTTCCCGATTATACGTCGCTTGTTAAAAAAGTATATGGAAAAATAAAAATCAAGTTTAAGTCATTTTATTCGACTTTACGTCTGTCCGCCACAAATATTGAAGTCGTAATATCACTAGATAAACGTTTAAAGCACATAAAATCATATTAAAATATATACAAGTATGTACTGTATTTACAGTACACGCATTCGTAAATTTAGATTACTTTTTTTGTACTATATTAAAAACTAAAATTTATTTGTTTGTAAGCTTAAAATAGATTTTTATTAACCATATATTATTTAAAATGCTTTCCTAGTGATAAGTAGATTCGGAAACAGGTAAATTCGATTTACGTCGTTTTCCTGGAACCAATTACCGACGTAAGGCGAGGTATACCTGTATAGATATAAAAATATTTACATCAGAAGAAACAAAAAAAATATATTCAAATTCTGTCTTTTCACTTCCTCAGGAACAAAACAGTCTTTACAGGCAGAGTGAACCTTTTTGTTAATTTTGAATTGTGAATATTTTTATATATAAACTATATTATTAAATTTTTATTTTTTACCTTCAGCAATCTTTTCATTATAGTGATATTTTGATTTGGTATATTCTCTACATTTAAATTCAATAAATTTTCCATAAAAGTTGGTTCTGACATCATTGCTCTTGCAGTTTTCCAAGTTGTTTGTTTACCAAGTAAAGCACAAATACATAAAGCTACAGTCATTACTACTGGTGGAGGTGCAACAAATGATCTGTAAATTTATAAGGAAAAAATTCTATCAAATAAATTTAATTTATGTAATTTAATATAATGCTAATATTAAAATTAAAAATATAATTTAAAGTGTATTAAAAACTTTGCTTTAATAAAACTTAAATTTATGTGCAATGCAAATGTTTTCAGTTTTGTTGACATACTTTTAGAGATAAATATTTCAATATCCAAACAAAATAAATAACATTGTTTTATTAAACGTAATAAATTGAGAAAAGTTCTGTTGTGAGAATTCTGTCTGTAGTAATGCTTTCATAAAAACAAGCATTGAACATAAAAATTAAACTCAGTTTTTGTATGTTGTTTTTCACTAAGAAATCATCATAAATAAATGGAAGTTAAAATTTAAATGGCAATTATAAAATTCTAAAGTTGTTTTATTTTTATTCTAATATTGTATTATACTGTATAATAAAAGTTCATATATACTGAAGTTTAAATATACTATTACTTTTATCCTCAGCAATTTTTCATTATAGTGGTATTTTGATTTACAGTTTGTAAAGATTCAATTTAGAAATTCTTTTTAGACTGATTTATAATAATGATTTTTCTTTTTATATTTTTTAAAAAATTTCATAACATCATGCATCAAATTCCAAATTCAAGGCTAAGATCAGAATGTACTGTACATTATTAAAGTTAGCAATATTAACTCATTATTTCAGATGGCATTCATATTTCTAAATTTCCACTATTTTAGAAATTAATGAACTCAAAATAACTTAGCTGTACATTGTATATATGTATATATAGTAGATAAATTAGCAACATATTAAGAAATATATAAAAACTTACACACATATAAGCTTATGTAAATTTTAGAAAATATTCATTCAAATTTTTAATATTTTAATTATATAATCTACATACTCCAATACAATTATTATTTGATTTAAGAATTACTGCAGTTTCCTGCTTATAACCTGCAATGGCATATACTCAATAAAAAATTGCTAGAACCAAAATAAAATCTTTATGTAATTGTCCATATACATTCACCTCTGAATTTTCTATTGAAAATATATTTCACAGATATGCAGTTTAGAAGATATAGTCTCAGACATGTTTTTTCTTATTTCTTTCCTTTTGTTTCTGTTAGTAGTTCATTGTACATTTATTTATAAAATAAATAGAAAAAAAAAACAAAATATTTGAGATGGAACCACCTAAACTGCATTATGTGTCAAAAATAAAAAATGACAATTGAACATGGTATAATATGATAAAATGACTGAAAAAAGTGCTAAAATGGCATAATTTTCAATACTCCATTTTTAAAATTACATGGTAGGAATGATTACTCAACTAGATATAGAGTAAATAAATAATAAATAAAATAATTTCCATTAATGTCATTGTTACTGTTAGGAAAGCTACAGAGACTACATAAACTACATACTAAAAACATGGATTTAAGATTTTGATCATAGGTGTTATTCACTGTAGAGGACTAATATACATAAAATTCACAATTGGTTTTAAATAGTTCTCTAGTGCAGTGGTTGCCAACCAGTCATCTGTGGACCACTGATGGTCTGCAAGAAAATTTTGGTGGTCCATGGAGAAATTTGGACATTGGTTACACAAAGTATTATAAAGGAAATGCAAAATTTTTGGTTGCTTTTTCTCACTCATTGGGAGTTTTTATTCAAATCTAAAACCAAATACAAAATGATTGTTATCAATAAATAATAATGTCAATAAATCAATAATTAATCAACAATAAACAATATGAGTGAGATTGTCATCCTTTGTAGAAAAGAGCCAAGAATCCATAAATTTATTTCAAACAAGCAGCAACAAACTTCACACTAATTTGTTATAATTAAACAAGTGGATTTCATAATAAAATAAAATAAATTGGAACTTTTATGATCATTACTCTACAGATGTTTATATTGTTTAAAAAATTCATGATAGTTGTCCATGGGATTCAAAATTGTGAGTTTAGTGGTCTGTGAGATGTGAAAGGTTGGCAACTGTTGCTCTAGTATCTAATAGTGCCAATTAAAACAAGTACTGACACAGAAAATGGGAGAGAATTAAAAGTAAGGCATACATATATGTTTCATGTAGTTTCCAGAAAAAATTGCAATGGCAGATGAATACGTGTGGTTAGTGTTACCTACCATCTGGTTTTCATCCGGACAGTCTGGGAATTGACTCACTGTCTGGGTGAACTATTAATTTTGTCCAGGAATTTCGTAGAAATTGTGAAATTACGATGAAACAAAGTTCTTGCAAATATTTTTACAAATTTACACTATTTTAACAGCGAAAGAACTCGCACTCACTGAAACTCATCTGCAATTCTGCCATGTTAGTCTGTTTACGCCAACGTGTGGCGCGCAACCTGTTGACCTTTTATTTTTTTGCATGTACAGTATGATCGTACACATCTCCAATATCCAAGAGAGCTAAGTTATCCATACCTGTTCTTTCTTAATTTAAGGTTACTTATGTTACTCCTACACAAGTCCCTAGTCCCTAACTGTAACTGATTTAGAACTGGCATGCACGTTATTCTTCGCATTGTAAAATGACATTGCACATGTGTCAGGAACTTCTGTTCGAACAAACCTGACCTGCTGTCTGGGGCAGCGATTTTGAAAAGGTGGCAACACTATGTGTGGTGCATAAAAGATTTTTCATATTTTTAAAAATACTGTTTGTAAGTTTAACAAATAAAAAAACTATTGAATGAGTTTGTGATTGCAATTTAAAATCAGCAGATAAATTCATCATCAGCAGGTGCAGGTAAAGCATCATTGCATTACCTGCACCTCTCTAAAATTAAAAACACAACCTACAGGAAGTTACATTAACACAATAATGAAAGTAAGAAACTGTTTTTGAGACATTCTTGTTAATTGTAATATTCTTGTTAATAATAAATTCCAGATCGTTTTTTAATTTTTTCTGCATTTGATTTTTAGAATTCTGAATATATTAGGAAAAGTAAGTAAACAAGTCACAAACAACTATTATAGAAATTATATGAAATAGAAACTTGAAAACCATTTATCATCACATTTACAAGAGCCTTTATTTCACGACATAATACCCACTAATATTAATGCACAAATCCAACGACACCTGCAGAGTATAAAAAAGAGGGAGAGCACATGTTATAAATAAGGGCATCATACTTTATGCAAGAAGCATATGATTCAATGTCGGATCAGCACTCCTGCAAGGTGGTGCGGATTGAACTCAGGGATAAAACTTGGCCTTGAAAACAAGGAATGGAGGTTTTGGTCAATATATGACAAAGTTACCTGGGTCAATGGACAAATATCATTCATTAATTTCATTAAGTCACAAATTTTGTTATTTGGACCCCCTTGGGATTAAGAAAAGGGCAATTGAAACAAAAAAAGGAAAGGCATATGCCCCAAGGTACAGGCACCTTGCATTATCCCATTGTTTATCAAAGTTTCAATTTTGGCTGCATAAGTATCTTGGGTCTACTGACTCAGTGACATATGCATCTCATGTTCAACCTCTTTATTACTTACAAAATGTTTGTCTCCAAGATGAATTTTTAGAAGCCCAACAGATGAAAATAGCTTGGGACTAAATCAGGGCTGTAATGTAGATGCTCAGAAAGTTCTAGCTTAGTTATTCATTTTTCTTCTAGGTTAATAAAACTTGGCATCAAGTTTTGTTAACCTAATTTGCTATTGCTATGATAAAACAGAATTCCTGTAATCAATATACATTTTTTCAAATTGTACTGTGAAAGTTTGACAGAACTTAACAATAGGATTTAGCATTCACATTCTGATTTTGCTTGTAGAAGTGAAATAACAGTACTCTTTGCAAATCACAAATCACTATAAGTATAACCTTTCTTCAAATTTCTTTGTTGAAGGTGAAGAAGGATATTTCCATTGTATTGGGTCATGCATTGATTTGAGTTAGCAGTGATGCATCCACATTTTGTTTCCAATAACAATTCTGTTAATCATGTCTTGTCCTTCATCTTCAGACTGTTGAGATGTGAGATGTATGGACAGACTTATTCAGTTCATTTTGTGTTCTTCCCTAAGTTTTCTGAAAATCCACTGTATGCACACTTCTCAAACTTCTGCTTCTGTTGGCAATCAGATTGGTTTTTATCAGTAACATTTGACTGTCAGAAAAAAATTTATCAAACCAAATGTATAATGCATACTGCTTTATATGACAAACACTTTCATCATAAACAAGAAGCATTTCCTTATGAATTTGCCATAAAATACACATAATGGCATGTGCTCTTCAACTTCAATCATAGTTGTCATTTTGAAACTGAGCTGGACAAATGCATGCAACACTTAGAGTCTGCTACTTCAAGGTGGATTGTGCTACTGCATAATGATATTTTTAGAAATTACTAACTGCCATTTTTAGCTATTCATATCAGTTTGTGATTTATTTACTGTCTTTCCCTCATAAAATTCCAATATAATAATTATTTGAAAATTTGATTTCAGTTTTATTTTAATAAAATTATTAATCATATAATATTCAAANAATTTCGGGACAAAGGAGCGAAGGTAGCCCAGAGGGCAAGTGGGGGGACGATGAGGACACTTTTGGCTTTGGACCGGAGGAGGAAAGACCGTCGGAGAGAGCGGTCTCGAGTTCGGTGTTGCTTCGGCCGGAAGGGTTACGAAGAACACTAAAGAAAGAAGTAGCATTGGAAGAGAAAAAGAACATTGGAAAAGCCGAGACTAAAGGACGAATTTTGGGTCCTCGCATGTGCTCCGTCCCCATAGAAGAAAAGAATCCCAAGACGAAAATCATCTAGTGGCCACCACCTCAATCAACCATTCGGGTACCCGTTCCTTACAACAAATTTCCATTTTTATTTCTCCCATTCTATCCTAATTCTTGTTCTTCCTTTCCTCTTCTAGTTATAAGTAGTTTTAAGTTAGTAATTAAGTGTCTCCTTTGTTACGCGAAAGAAAAGTTTAGCTCCGCTGTGAATTAAAAATCGGTGTTGTTTGTTCCCTTTTGTTTAATAAAAGTGAGGAACAAGGAGGTCGGAATCAACGAACCTTTCCTGTATATATGTTCGTAAAGTAAAATAAAGCACGTCTTATTGTTTTATATTCCTGTCTCTTTGTGAGAACTCAATAATCACCACGTGCACACCACAATGGAAACCGTGTGTTACAAACAGGAGGAATACTTTGAAGGGACAAACATGTACAGGTATACCTCGCCTTACGTCAGTAATTGGTTCCAGGAAAACGACGTAAGTCGAATTTACTTGTCTCTGAATCTACTTGTCACTAGGCGAAACCATAAATTACCATTCCCGGTTCTGTATTTTATTTATTAATGCATTTTTAATAATATATGGTTAATAAAAATCTATTTTAAGCTTACAAACAAATAAATTTTAGTTTTTAATATAGTACAGAAAAAAGTATTCTAAATTTACGAATGCATGTACTGTAAATACAGAACATACTTGTATATATTTTAATATGATTTTATGTGCTTTAAACGCTTTTCTACTGATATTACGACTTCAATATTTGTGGCGGACAGACGTAAAGTTGAATAAAATGACTTAAATTTGATTTTTATTTTTCCATATACTTTTTTGACAAACGACGTATAATCGGGAACGACATAACTCGAAACGACGTAAGTCGAGGTATGCCTGTATAATGTATAATATTGTAATTATGATAATAAAGTTTGTATGACAAAAGTTCAGTCTTTTTTTTTTTTAACAGACCTTGTATTCCACCATATACCTCACTGTTAAAATAAGAAATAATAAAAGATGCTGCTCAGTGGCAACATTGCAGACAAGAAGTATCATATTTTAGTAGTCCACAGATTATCTGTTTTCTCAGAATAAATGTCATTGCAGATTACACATGCAATAATACATAGTATAACAAAAAGGTTTGTAAAATATTTGAGGAGTTGCAGAGGGGTTAATGAACTAAACATGAGTAAATAAGAACAGTATATAACTACAATATGCCAAGATGACATGATTGTTCATATTGCCATTTTTAATGACACCACCCCTTAATCGCCATCTATTAAAGTGCTAAATTCTACCTTTGATAGGTTAGTTTGGTATGTTTTTCTCAAGGTGGTATTCAATTATTATGATTATTAACTTTTGTCCTTACTCTGATAATGAAGTGATAAGTGATTAGTGAAATAAAAAAGTCTTTAAAAAAATATAGTGAAGTTTATGAGTTATCTTTTTGTTTTACTTAAATTTAAAGTTTTATTTTGTAATATGTATATTATTTACTAACTTAAGAAGAGCCACAATTATGCATTAAAAGAGCTGGATGCACTCCGAAACAGCAGGTTTCCGACCACTGGTATGGGACTTCAGACAGTTTGAAAGTTTAAACACAAATAATCCCCAGCTCAACTGTTCAAAATTATAGTATTTACTAAAAATAACTTTACTCTGAGTCCTGGTTATGTAATAAAAATTTATGTAAACTATATTTTTAAAAATATTTTAATAAATAAATTAATGAAATAGCTAAGGACAATACAAATATACTAGTTGGACCTGGCCATGCATTGCAATGGCTCAAAATGTATCTTTTATAAACATATAACTCTCCCCATGGGAGGGAATTTTGAAAAATCCCTTCTTAGTGTACATTCTCTTGATGTACCCTATTAAAACGCAAAAAACTGCATCTAAAATAGTATAATAGAACCTGAATTCTTCAAGGTAAGCCTTAATTTTGTCCCTCTCCCTCGCAGGGGGAATTTTGACATCTATCTAATATACAAGTTCAGACATGTGCACTGCGTATCTCGCTGACCATGCCGCGTGGTTACCTATCTTGTATAAGTATGCGTCTTGCCCTCGCCACATGCTGACACCAAAAATATAATGCTTACCTAGATGATATCTTTTAATTTATATGAATGTTTAACAGAATAATATACAGACTATGTCCACCCTGAAAGTCCATTCTAAATATTGGTGAAAGAATTTTTAAAATTGGATGAGTAGTTTCGGAGATTACTTCCTACATCCAAACTTACAAACTTTACCTCTTTATAATATTAGTACAGGCATACCTCGACTTACGTCGTTTCGAGTTACGTCGTTCCCGATTATACGTCGCTTGTTAAAAAAGTATATGGAAAAATAAAAATCAAGTTTAAGTCATTTTATTCGACTTTACGTCTGTCCGCCACAAATATTGAAGTCGTAATATCACTAGATAAACGTTTAAAGCACATAAAATCATATTAAAATATATACAAGTATGTACTGTATTTACAGTACACGCATTCGTAAATTTAGATTATTTTTTTGTACTATATTAAAAACTAAAATTTATTTGTTTGTAAGCTTAAAATAGATTTTTATTAACCATATATTATTTAAAATGCTTTCCTAGTGATAAGTAGATTCGGAAACAGGTAAATTCGATTTACGTCGTTTTCCTGGAACCAATTACCGACGTAAGGCGAGGTATACCTGTATAGATATAAAAATATTTACATCAGAAGAAACAAAAAAAATATATTCAAATTCTGTCTTTTCACTTCCTCAGGAACAAAACAGTCTTTACAGGCAGAGTGAACCTTTTTGTTAATTTTGAATTGTGAATATTTTTATATATAAACTATATTATTAAATTTTTATTTTTTACCTTCAGCAATCTTTTCATTATAGTGATATTTTGATTTGGTATATTCTCTACATTTAAATTCAATAAATTTTCCATAAAAGTTGGTTCTGACATCATTGCTCTTGCAGTTTTCCAAGTTGTTTGTTTACCAAGTAAAGCACAAATACATAAAGCTACAGTCATTACTACTGGTGGAGGTGCAACAAATGATCTGTAAATTTATAAGGAAAAAATTCTATCAAATAAATTTAATTTATGTAATTTAATATAATGCTAATATTAAAATTAAAAATATAATTTAAAGTGTATTAAAAACTTTGCTTTAATAAAACTTAAATTTATGTGCAATGCAAATGTTTTCAGTTTTGTTGACATACTTTTAGAGATAAATATTTCAATATCCAAACAAAATAAATAACATTGTTTTATTAAACGTAATAAATTGAGAAAAGTTCTGTTGTGAGAATTCTGTCTGTAGTAATGCTTTCATAAAAACAAGCATTGAACATAAAAATTAAACTCAGTTTTTGTATGTTGTTTTTCACTAAGAAATCATCATAAATAAATGGAAGTTAAAATTTAAATGGCAATTATAAAATTCTAAAGTTGTTTTATTTTTATTCTAATATTGTATTATACTGTATAATAAAAGTTCATATATACTGAAGTTTAAATATACTATTACTTTTATCCTCAGCAATTTTTCATTATAGTGGTATTTTGATTTACAGTTTGTAAAGATTCAATTTAGAAATTCTTTTTAGACTGATTTATAATAATGATTTTTCTTTTTATATTTTTTAAAAAATTTCATAACATCATGCATCAAATTCCAAATTCAAGGCTAAGATCAGAATGTACTGTACATTATTAAAGTTAGCAATATTAACTCATTATTTCAGATGGCATTCATATTTCTAAATTTCCACTATTTTAGAAATTAATGAACTCAAAATAACTTAGCTGTACATTGTATATATGTATATATAGTAGATAAATTAGCAACATATTAAGAAATATATAAAAACTTACACACATATAAGCTTATGTAAATTTTAGAAAATATTCATTCAAATTTTTAATATTTTAATTATATAATCTACATACTCCAATACAATTATTATTTGATTTAAGAATTACTGCAGTTTCCTGCTTATAACCTGCAATGGCATATACTCAATAAAAAATTGCTAGAACCAAAATAAAATCTTTATGTAATTGTCCATATACATTCACCTCTGAATTTTCTATTGAAAATATATTTCACAGATATGCAGTTTAGAAGATATAGTCTCAGACATGTTTTTTCTTATTTCTTTCCTTTTGTTTCTGTTAGTAGTTCATTGTACATTTATTTATAAAATAAATAGAAAAAAAAAACAAAATATTTGAGATGGAACCACCTAAACTGCATTATGTGTAAAAAATAAAAAATGACAATTGAACATGGTATAATATGATAAAATGACTGAAAAAAGTGCTAAAATGGCATAATTTTCAATACTCCATTTTTAAAATTACATGGTAGGAATGATTACTCAACTAGATATAGAGTAAATAAATAATAAATAAAATAATTTCCATTAATGTCATTGTTACTGTTAGGAAAGCTACAGAGACTACATAAACTACATACTAAAAACATGGATTTAAGATTTTGATCATAGGTGTTATTCACTGTAGAGGACTAATATACATAAAATTCACAATTGGTTTTAAATAGTTCTCTAGTGCAGTGGTTGCCAACCAGTCATCTGTGGACCACTGATGGTCTGCAAGAAAATTTTGGTGGTCCATGGAGAAATTTGGACATTGGTTACACAAAGTATTATAAAGGAAATGCAAAATTTTTGGTTGCTTTTTCTCACTCATTGGGAGTTTTTATTCAAATCTAAAACCAAATACAAAATGATTGTTATCAATAAATAATAATGTCAATAAATCAATAATTAATCAACAATAAACAATATGAGTGAGATTGTCATCCTTTGTAGAAAAGAGCCAAGAATCCATAAATTTATTTCAAACAAGCAGCAACAAACTTCACACTAATTTGTTATAATTAAACAAGTGGATTTCATAATAAAATAAAATAAATTGGAACTTTTATGATCATTACTCTACAGATGTTTATATTGTTTAAAAAATTCATGATAGTTGTCCATGGGATTCAAAATTGTGAGTTTAGTGGTCTGTGAGATGTGAAAGGTTGGCAACTGTTGCTCTAGTATCTAATAGTGCCAATTAAAACAAGTACTGACACAGAAAATGGGAGAGAATTAAAAGTAAGGCATACATATATGTTTCATGTAGTTTCCAGAAAAAATTGCAATGGCAGATGAATACGTGTGGTTAGTGTTACCTACCATCTGGTTTTCATCCGGACAGTCTGGGAATTGACTCACTGTCTGGGTGAACTATTAATTTTGTCCAGGAATTTCGTAGAAATTGTGAAATTACGATGAAACAAAGTTCTTGCAAATATTTTTACAAATTTACACTATTTTAACAGCGAAAGAACTCGCACTCACTGAAACTCATCTGCAATTCTGCCATGTTAGTCTGTTTACGCCAACGTGTGGCGCGCAACCTGTTGACCTTTTATTTTTTTGCATATACAGTATGATCGTACACATCTCCAATATCCAAGAGAGCTAAGTTATCCATACCTGTTCTTTCTTAATTTAAGGTTACTTATGTTACTCCTACACAAGTCCCTAGTCCCTAACTGTAACTGATTTAGAACTGGCATGCACGTTATTCTTCGCATTGTAAAATGACATTGCACATGTGTCAGGAACTTCTGTTCGAACAAACCTGACCTGCTGTCTGGGGCAGCGATTTTGAAAAGGTGGCAACACTATGTGTGGTGCATAAAAGATTTTTCATATTTTTAAAAATACTGTTTGTAAGTTTAACAAATAAAAAAACTATTGAATGAGTTTGTGATTGCAATTTAAAATCAGCAGATAAATTCATCATCAGCAGGTGCAGGTAAAGCATCATTGCATTACCTGCACCTCTCTAAAATTAAAAACACAACCTACAGGAAGTTACATTAACACAATAATGAAAGTAAGAAACTGTTTTTGAGACATTCTTGTTAATTGTAATATTCTTGTTAATAATAAATTCCAGATCGTTTTTTAATTTTTTCTGCATTTGATTTTTAGAATTCTGAATATATTAGGAAAAGTAAGTAAACAAGTCACAAACAACTATTATAGAAATTATATGAAATAGAAACTTGAAAACCATTTATCATCACATTTACAAGAGCCTTTATTTCACGACATAATACCCACTAATATTAATGCACAAATCCAACGACACCTGCAGAGTATAAAAAAGAGGGAGAGCACATGTTATAAATAAGGGCATCATACTTTATGCAAGAAGCATATGATTCAATGTCGGATCAGCACTCCTGCAAGGTGGTGCGGATTGAACTCAGGGATAAAACTTGGCCTTGAAAACAAGGAATGGAGGTTTTGGTCAATATATGACAAAGTTACCTGGGTCAATGGACAAATATCATTCATTAATTTCATTAAGTCACAAATTTTGTTATTTGGACCCCCTTGGGATTAAGAAAAGGGCAATTGAAACAAAAAAAGGAAAGGCATATGCCCCAAGGTACAGGCACCTTGCATTATCCCATTGTTTATCAAAGTTTCAATTTTGGCTGCATAAGTATCTTGGGTCTACTGACTCAGTGACATATGCATCTCATGTTCAACCTCTTTATTACTTACAAAATGTTTGTCTCCAAGATGAATTTTTAGAAGCCCAACAGATGAAAATAGCTTGGGACTAAATCAGGGCTGTAATGTAGATGCTCAGAAAGTTCTAGCTTAGTTATTCATTTTTCTTCTAGGTTAATAAAACTTGGCATCAAGTTTTGTTAACCTAATTTGCTATTGCTATGATAAAACAGAATTCCTGTAATCAATATACATTTTTTCAAATTGTACTGTGAAAGTTTGACAGAACTTAACAATAGGATTTAGCATTCACATTCTGATTTTGCTTGTAGAAGTGAAATAACAGTACTCTTTGCAAATCACAAATCACTATAAGTATAACCTTTCTTCAAATTTCTTTGTTGAAGGTGAAGAAGGATATTTCCATTGTATTGGGTCATGCATTGATTTGAGTTAGCAGTGATGCATCCACATTTTGTTTCCAATAACAATTCTGTTAATCATGTCTTGTCCTTCATCTTCAGACTGTTGAGATGTGAGATGTATGGACAGACTTATTCAGTTCATTTTGTGTTCTTCCCTAAGTTTTCTGAAAATCCACTGTATGCACACTTCTCAAACTTCTGCTTCTGTTGGCAATCAGATTGGTTTTTATCAGTAACATTTGACTGTCAGAAAAAAATTTATCAAACCAAATGTATAATGCATACTGCTTTATATGACAAACACTTTCATCATAAACAAGAAGCATTTCCTTATGAATTTGCCATAAAATACACATAATGGCATGTGCTCTTCAACTTCAATCATAGTTGTCATTTTGAAACTGAGCTGGACAAATGCATGCAACACTTAGAGTCTGCTACTTCAAGGTGGATTGTGCTACTGCATAATGATATTTTTAGAAATTACTAACTGCCATTTTTAGCTATTCATATCAGTTTGTGATTTATTTACTGTCTTTCCCTCATAAAATTCCAATATAATAATTATTTGAAAATTTGATTTCAGTTTTATTTTAATAAAATTATTAATCATATAATATTCAAATATGTAAAAATCACCTTATTTCTGTGATATCAGATTTATCTATTTCTTTTAATGAATTACGTGCTGCATCTAAGGCTGAAAGTGTTTCACTTAAGGTCACTTCAGCTTCCATCTAAGAAAAAAAAAACACATTTAGAACTGCTTTTAATTTCATATTTAACTAATTAATATATAGAATTATAAATATTGTGAAAAATTGGTATTACACATTATTGTTTAAGCAGAATGAGCAAAAAATAAAGGAAGATAAAATTCAAAATTAAATTATATTGTGTAAATTATTTTTTAATACATAATAAAATGTAAAACTTTTATAAATATCATATAAAAACTAAGCTTTTAGGCTGTTTTTTGTTTGTTTAAACAATTAAAATATAAACTTACTCTAAACTAAAACCACTAAAAAACCTAATATCCAGCAAAGAAGTTTGGAGGTACTAATGTTTTCATCCTTGTTGAACGAGTATCATTCATTAATCATCCATCTGCTGAAACAATGGGGAATTGCCATACATGTGTTAAGAGGGGAGGGGGAAAAATAGTAAAATTTATAGTTCAAAGAAAGACATCTATGCTATAGGGAAAAAGTCAACATTGCAAAAATTAATAGTGGTATTATTGCAGATCAGACTTCACAAAATGATTGGCCAACACTGCATTGGTTATTTTTGCATTCAACCCAGACATCAATATGGACTTTATCTGTGCATGCCTCTTACATAGCTCTTCCTGGCAGCCCTTTCTCAAACATCTTAAGCAGATGGAAATTTTTATCTAGCCAAAACATAGCTGCTACATTTGCTTTATTGCTATAATTTTGTTGTTTATAACTATTTCATTTATAAATTGTTGCATTTTTTAAACTTCTCATTCAAATGTTTGTAATATATTCAATTTTTAAAATTAATCTTTTATGATATTCTTTAATATAATATGAAATTATTTGTTAAATGAGTTGAAAATGTCTGTTTTGAACATAAATGTTTCACTGTTAAGACATTATTGCTGTTGTTCAAATCCAATAAATATTTTGATATTAAAAGTAAAATCACTACTTGACATACTAAATTTGATGGCTGATTTCACCCTTAAAAATGTTTTTAACTTATAAAAATATGCACTTTTTAGTTTTGATATTTTACAAAATTATTGGAATCATTAAAATCAAAAAAGAACACTCATAAATCAAATAAAATTGTGCAAAATTATAGATAAATAAAGTGGATCAGCAATAACACATTATAAAATTGATCAGCAAAATGTAAGAGAATATCAAAAAGTTCACTCCTAAAAAATCAATATGAAAACTCAATCTCGTGGGGATGAAATGAAATGATTATTTCTTAGTATTTGATTGTTTACTGTTCTCTCAATTTGTTGTATTTCCTTTGAAATTAGCACAAGTTTGCTGTTGAGAAAAAAATCACACAGGAACTCTTTTTGAGTGGAAAAAGTAGGTTTATTTTCTATAATTTAAAATTATATGCATTTTGGGCTTACTGCAGGCTTCAGTCCTAATATTATAGTGACAGCTGAAATAACATTATTAAAACCATGAGTAAAATAAGTAACTGTAGAAATAAAATTATTTTGGTTAAATCATAAAATTATGGGCTAGTATAAATAAAACTGTAAAAATAAATATAATTTCATAAAATGTATAAAATGTTTTTTGATTAAAAAGGTAGTAAAACATAAAAAACCTTAAAACCAATTAAAACTGGCTAAAAATAAGGTGTAAGAGCATTCACTCATAATGATTATTTCTTATTTTACTCCCTATATTACAAACTTTAATATTATGCAAGTTTTCGTGTTTTCTTTTCATCAAAATAGAACATAAACTGTCAATTTGATTTTTTATTTTCATTTATATATGCAAATTCAATAGGCAAAATTCTTATATATCAGTATATATAATGCATTGAATATTATAAATATTTCACAATGTCTTACCTTCTCATGACTTATAAGTCCATGTTTTTCTTTCAGCTCTTCAGTTTTGACATTTTCAATTTGTCGTTTTTCTTTTATAGTAAGAGTTTGCAATGAAATAATTTCCAACAATTCATTGCAAGCATCAGTTTTTCTGTTCAAAACAATTTGTTGTTCATCTAATTTTTCTTGAAAAAGTAGAATTTGTTCTCGAGCAAGTTGAATTTTAGTCAATCCTTCTATAATTCGTTTGCTCTAAAATAAATATAATCTTTGTATTAAATTATATTATTAGTAATTTACAAATGTTCAATTATTACTATATTATTATATTTATATAGATTGAACTTCTTTAATCTGTCATTCTGTGATCTGGCAACTCCCATGGTCCAGCACATTTTGGATTTGCTGCCACTAGATTGTAGACCTGTTATGTCTGTTTATTTGATTCACAGAAAATTAATTAGGGGAAAGCCAAAGTACCAGAAGCAAGCTATATTGCAACAGTGGCTGCAGAAGGTTGATGATAATTCTTTCAAAGATTGATTCAACATAGAAAATCTACTTTGCTACATGCTGCACCTCCTCTGTTTCTGATCTACACATACCAGATAAGCATAGAGACCCTAATGACCCTTCATACCTTAAAGATATTGCTGACCCTGCTGATTTCTGATGTAATTCAGAGTTAACCAGATTTTGCTCAGAAAAATGACATATTAAAGTTAAAAATAAAAATACACATATATAAACTTTGGAAATGAAAATTCAAAGTAATGCATCCATATAAACAATATTATTGGTTGTTTATATGGAATCCTTTTTGCACTAAAGAAAAGAAAGTCAACTGCAGAATTCAATCAGATATTAAAATTTGGATCCAATAACTCATAGCTGCCATTACTGTATGAAAACTAATGGAGAGAAAATTTACTCTGATACTAATTGAGTTTTTTGAAAATCAGAAATAAATGCCAAAGAAAGGCAATGCAATTTCTTACTCTAATTCACATTTCTGAAGAGTAGAAAGGATAATATTAAAATAACAAACTACAAACTCCCAGATGAGAGATTAAGTGCATTTTGCATACCCTTTAATCAGCCATTGAAGTGTGGCTACACGCCTGTTTTCTTTTATTATTATTAGTCTGTATAATTTTAGTTTAATTTAAATTCTAGAATTTTCCTTCTTTCCGATTTCTTTGTTCCTTTGTCTCGGACTTCGGAAAACTCGCCTCACCCCTAACCCATCAGAGGGTAGTGTTAGAACAAAAGGGAAAACGAGACTGGAGGGCGAAAGAAAGAGTTTCGAGAAGCATTCTTGGGCCGGACTCAGAGAGAGAGAGAGAGAGAGACGAGTGGCAGCAGGCTCTGGAATGGAAACTCAGGGAGCGCTGCAGAAAGAGGCCGTAAGAAGCAGATCGGCAGAAGAGTCAAGTCGACGATTATAGAGAAAAAACCCCAGAAGAGACCTGAATTGTTCTAAAAGGAGAACAGATGAGAAAGAAGCTGAGACAAGGAACGGTGGAGAACCAAAAGGAAAATTGGGTACCCTCTGTCCTTTAATTCTTCTTATTTTCCCTTCTACCTTTCCTATCTCTTAGTTTAAGTTAGTTTAAGTTTACGCGCGCAACTAAATTTGTCGGGAGGTAGTTANATTTATGTAAACTATATTTTTAAAAATATTTTAATAAATAAATTAATGAAATAGCTAAGGACAATACAAATATACTAGTTGGACCTGGCCATGCATTGCAATGGCTCAAAATGTATCTTTTATAAACATATAACTCTCCCCATGGGAGGGAATTTTGAAAAATCCCTTCTTAGTGTACATTCTCTTGATGTACCCTATTAAAACGCAAAAAACTGCATCTAAAATAGTATAATAGAACCTGAATTCTTCAAGGTAAGCCTTAATTTTGTCCCTCTCCCTCGCAGGGGGAATTTTGACATCTATCTAATATACAAGTTCAGACATGTGCACTGCGTATCTCGCTGACCATGCCGCGTGGTTACCTATCTTGTATAAGTATGCGTCTTGCCCTCGCCACATGCTGACACCAAAAATATAATGCTTACCTAGATGATATCTTTTAATTTATATGAATGTTTAACAGAATAATATACAGACTATGTCCACCCTGAAAGTCCATTCTAAATATTGGTGAAAGAATTTTTAAAATTGGATGAGTAGTTTCGGAGATTACTTCCTACATCCAAACTTACAAACTTTACCTCTTTATAATATTAGTACAGGCATACCTCGACTTACGTCGTTTCGAGTTACGTCGTTCCCGATTATACGTCGCTTGTTAAAAAAGTATATGGAAAAATAAAAATCAAGTTTAAGTCATTTTATTCGACTTTACGTCTGTCCGCCACAAATATTGAAGTCGTAATATCACTAGATAAACGTTTAAAGCACATAAAATCATATTAAAATATATACAA